TCTACCCACAGCCTCAGCATTAACTGTTGTTTTTCAAGGGAAAAACAAAGTCCAGTTGCATTATGGAAATCACCTTTGGGAGTATAAGTTCAATTGGTTTAAGATTTTGACACATAAACTTTTTCATAAGAGTTATTTATTCCTTTTCAAAGGAAGGATCAATAGACATGCCTTTATTTCCTTTCTTTTTTTCCCAAATGGATTCAATAGACATTCATTGTATAGTAGTGATATTTTAACTATACATATCTTTTGAAGAAATAGGAAAGAACAGTCCCCATTACTTGTAGAAAGATTTAATTTTCATCACATTTTTTTCTTAAGATTCTAAAGAGACATACAAAGCTTATTGCCAAGGTCTAGACCAGGGGTTCTCAACCTTGGCAACTTTAAGACTTGTGGACTTCAACTCCCAGAATTCCTCAGCCAGCAAAGCTGGGAGTTGAAGTCCACAAGTCTTAAAGTTGCCAAGGTTGAGAAACCCTGGTCTAGATAATGATTATATACCATATAAGAATTAACAACAGTAGAAAACTCTACTTTTCTAAAAAAAAAAAAAAAAGTACAAATTCAGGTCAATAATTTATCCATTGGAGCATGAAGAATTTAAAGGCAACAATTAAGAAATCTAAGCAAAAGCTGACAATCCAACTGAAATGTTTTCTGGGATGACCTTTGCTGCTATTACTTAGTCTCATAAGATAGCTTCATTAGATTGATTCTGCACTATTAAAGTGCCTTTTAATTTATATCTCATACACCAGAGAGTCCCGATCTATTTTAATCTGTTTGGTTTGATGGACACATTTGAAATTTGCAGAACATACTTCCAGTGTTCTTCTGGGGTAGCTTGCCCATTCACAAAATGGCAGCTACATGGAATCAGCCATAACATCTAGACCATCAGCCCACAGTAGTCTCCTTCCTACTTCTGCTTATTTTTATTCTTTTACTACTAGATTAGAGGGGGAGAACTATAGCTCCTTTATGATTTGTGGACTTCAATTCCCAGAATTTTCACTGGCTCAGGAGTTCTGGGAGTTGAAGTCCACAGATCATAAAAAGGGCCATAGTTCCCCACCCCTGGGCTAGATGAACATGGTTCCATACAACGCAATGACCTGGATTTACCATCATTTTTATATTCTAAAAGTATTTCTGAAAGAAATGAATAGAAACTAATCAAGGAGAGCAGCAACCTAAAATTTAGGACAAATTTCCTGACAGAACAATTAATCAGTAGAACAACCTGCCTCCAGAAACACTGGAAGTTTTTAAGAAGAGATGGGACAACTATTTGTCTGAAAAGATATACGGTTTCCTGCCTGAGCAGGTGGTTGGTCTAGAAGACTTCCAAGGTCCCTTTCAACTATTCTATTCTATTCTATTCTATTCTATTCTATTCTATTCTATTCCATTCCATTCCATTCCATTCTATTCTATTCTATTATTCTATTCTATTCTAAATGCATAGTGGTATTTTGGGCAATGAAGGTAATGCTAGAGATTATCACTTCCAGTTACTGAATGTGCCAGAGAAGGGAGGTAGAACAATACGAAACAGGTACTTCACTTCTCAGAACAGTTTCATGTAGATGCTTTCTTCAAGACTTAAAACTTCTCTATAAATGATACATTCTCTCATTTGGGTTGTTGTTGTTTTTCTACACGCATGCAAACATTCACTATTCTAGCTACTAATCTCAACATCTGGAATTAACATCTCCAGATTTCTAAGTGGGTTTCTATGGGCCCTGTGACTTGACTCAGATTATTTTCATGGGAACTTAATAAGACCTTTTCATCAGCTTCAATTGGATTCCCTGCTGAGAAAGGTTTATCAGGTTTATTTGTTGATGGCCTCTGGCGAGCAGCAAAAAGTTCTATTTAAAAAGGCATTTCTTATGCCAGTTATTTTTTTGTTTGTTTGCTGTTTGGAACCTATAATTTAATTATGCTTTGATCTAGTTTGCATAATTTCTTTAAAAAAATGTCCTTCTTCTATTGACTTGCATTTTATAGTTAACATTGCTTATGTTTTTTCCTACATTACCACCATCAATAGAGACTTTTTTATTATGAAAATAGCATAAGGATGAAAGAAAGAAATATCAGATTTTGTGGAAATATTTGTAAAACTGGTCTATCACATCTAGCATTGGGACTAGTATAAGTAAAAGTATGTTTTATGTTTGATATTAGGAAATTTACTCAAACAGACACACGATGCAATTGTTATCATTTCTATAGGTATGCATTTTGATGACATTTTAATAAATAAACAAAGCTTATACCTCTGACCAAATTGATAAAAGTATGTTTGATGATACTGGGAAAATGGAACATGTCCAGACATAGATTGGCATCGATAGCTAGCCTTCAAAGTACTTCAGAGCTGATGATTTGCCACTTGCAAATCTTCAGTTGTGAAGTACTTGGAATTCTAGCTATCAGTGCCAGTCTAGGTCTGGTCATGTTCCATTTTCCCAGTATCATCAAACCAATACAATCCTGAAACTAGTTGATGGCTTTTGTTGACTCTGCTAAGAATTGATCCAACAAGTCATAATATTTCTTCCAAGATTTGCCATTTGCAAATCTTGGAATAAACAGTATGACTTGTTGGATCAAATCTCAGCAGAGTCAATGAAAGCCATTCACTAATTTCAGGATTGTATTGCAATTTCCTTTGGGATTGAGAAAATCATTCTATGTCCCAACCATTGAAGCAGAGCCAAATCATTGTGCTTTTGCTTTTTTAACTGTATGTTATCAAAGTCAGGAAAGAAACTGTAGCCAATACAAAATCCTATGCTGAAAATCATATGTAAAAAGACTTGCTTCTCCTACAATACATTGTAATTAGACAGTGGGGAAAAAAAAGCAGGCCTGACTGAAAATATCTGTCCCTCATTTGGGTATGTGTGGGTATGTGTGCATATGTGTACTGTATACACATACAAACATCTACATACCCCCATTGATAAGAAATAGCATTTGGCTTCTGTCTTGGGATTTTACCAAGAAAGAAAAGAGTTAACGTATAAAACAATGTTTATAGGATGATAATATGGCTGGGTTAATGATGGCCTACAAATCCGCACATTGTTGAGAGTAATGCTTACTAGCTAGAGCTTGAACAATCATAATAAAGAGAAGTCTTTGATCCTCCTTGATGTTCCTATCCTTTTGCCAGAATCTTCCTAAGTGCAGAAAATGGATGAAAAAAGTGGAGAGTCCTTTTTTCCCCCAAAGATACTATAAGACTCTTGCATACTTGTACACTTACAATTCCACAGATGCTGCTGGGAGAAGGACACTTAAAATGATCCTGCATTGATCATGGAACTGGCTATGAATTATTTAGTTTAAAGACCTGAAATTCAGCCTAGTCAGGATCAATATTTCTTCACTTTCTCTGCCTGCATTGGGGCTGTTAGAGCCCAGAGTTCTTCGGAAAAGTTCAGATATGAACTTTGGGAACTCTGTATAAACCCCCACCTAAAAAAAGATTTGTTCCCAGAGAAGAGTCCAAGATGAATTGTTGGTTTCTCTGACTGACAAATGCATTCCAGTGCTAAAGGAGATCTGTCTCATGGATGAAGAAAGCCTGGTCAGATAGGGATCATGGAGGTCTTGACAGCACACCGACAGCTCCATTAGAGCATGTAATCTGTAGCTGCTAAAGCAACAATTGCAGGCACAAGAATGTAAGAGCCGTGCTGGAGGACCAAAGTATTTTGTTCCTATAGTGACCAGGAAAATAGAAACAGCAATACCACTTAGAGTTATATACCACTTCACAATGCTTTACAGCCCTGTCTAAACAGTTTATAAAGCCAGCATATTGCCCCTAACAATCTGAGTCCGCATTTTACCGACCTCGGAAGGATGGAAGGTTAAGTCAACCTTGAGCCAGTGAGACTCAAACTGCTGAACTGCTGGCAGCCGGCAGTCAGCAGAAGTAGCTGCAGTACTGCATTCTAACCACTGCACCACCTTGGCTCGCTCTGGAAAGCCCAAAGGAGAGATATGATGGCAGCAATGCCTTCCCAGTCATATTTCCAAACCACTCTAATTAAGAAGCATACATGAAATAATAAATATAATTTTAGTTTTACATAAATATTTGTATCCAACCCTTCTGTTGTATATGGACCATTCAGAGATATTGTGTATCCTTAAATTAGTTTTCCCAGTTTAAAACCATTCAGATTACTACCCAGGTCTGCATAAAAATTACGCATGGTTTGACAAAGTAGATGGAAACAATTTTTTGGGTCACATTCTAATAACTCTACCATTCACAGGCTTCCCTGCAGAGAATGTTGGAAGATTCAGGGCACACTAATGGAAGAACCTATTCACATGGCACATAGTTAAACTTTAGAATTTATTAGCATAAAATGTACAATTTTGACAGCTTTTAAAAGATATCCGATATCCGATATATTGTTTTAAAAAAAAGCCTGATATAAGATCTTTGTTATTTCATAATGTATCTCTTACATATCCTCTATATGGCACCTTAAATTACAGTTTCTTCTTCTCTGCCTTTTCAAAGGATAATAACCAGCTTATGAACTACTCTCAGCACAGAGTCATACTGATTTTGCTATCTGTTCACTAATATGAGAAGGAAATAGGCCAGTTAATTCCCCACAAAAAAAAAAAAAAATAGATGCACTCTTTTTACACCAAAGAAGCAGACACACAGCAAAGTTGCTCCTTCTCTTCTCTATATGTTATTTATTTATTTTTATATAATATTTTATTAGTTTTCTAATTTTACAATTAAACATTTAAAAACAATGTTGTGACTGGGTTAATCAATAATTCAATAACATACATAAATCTTTAGTACAAATCTCAAGTTACAACATCAGATATTTCCTCTCTTTTTCCCTTAATATCTACTATCTCATATTAGGCTAGTATAGTTCTTATTATTATCAGGTAAAACCACCTTTGTTACATTTATCAATAATTTTTAGCTTATACATATCTTAATTGTGTTTGCATTCAATCCTTATATACAATCAATGTCCTGTTATTACTTTTTTCCCAAGCTTTAATTTCCCATATGTTATTTACAATTTACATTTAAAAAATCATTAACTGTAAAAGAAATGATAATTGTAGAAAGCAAACTATAGCAATGAGATCTGCCACCAATGTAAGGGATGAAGTTGTTCCAGATACTCATCTCTCCTGTTTAACATTATATGAGGTCACCGGTAGAGGTCATCCGATGGCATGGATGAGGCATCATCAATATGCTGATGTTGTCAAGGGCTTGTCCCCATGTGTGGAGGTTGGGAGGGTCTGGATGTGGAAAAACAAACTCAGATTCCATCCTAGCAAGACTGAGTAGGTGGGCTACCTGATCACAGTGATTTTTCATCTTGTCCTGGATGGAGTAGCATTTCCCCATTTGGAACTGGTGTGAATTTTCGTTTTCCTGGACTTGATGAAAGAGCAAATGGCAGCTACAACCAAGAGAGCCTCCTCATCTTGTACACCAGTTGTGAGGAGGACCAGAATTAGACTTGGAAGATTCTGTTATTATAGTCTATCTCAATTAGTTATGTTTCTGTTCTTCTTGAAGAATGTATTTCCTGATCTGATCTGCCTCAATCTTTCAAATAGAACTGTGCCTCTCCTCCACTATCTTATATATCCAGGGATTTAGGAGACAGTCAGCCTGAGTGTCTTCTAATACTGTCTACCTTCTCAGGATTTAAAGAATGCTCCTGTTCTCTTCATTTTTGCAAAAAAAAATATATTAATATTTGCTTTGAGTCTGCCCTCCTGGTTCTCTATAGCCAGCTGAAGGCACCAATTATACACAGAAAGCCCTGAGAAAACATTGGAGAAACTGTGCAACAATAGTTATAGAAAAATATGATTTAAGCCTGGGAGAAAAAAGGAAAGTATTAAAAAAACTCAAACTGGTTCCATCCTAACTCCCTGTGGTATAAGAGAAAAGAAGGAGAAAATATACAGCCTAGTTTTTAAGATTCTGTTACCATCAATAAAGCAGTTTCTTGTGGAGTCTGTTGCTATGGAGTCATGCAGCCTTATGTAAATTTTATAGATTAAATAAATAAATAGATAACCACCATGAATAACAAACTCGGGTCAACGGCATTGATATAATCAGCTTAATTAATGAATATTTTGGATGAATATTTTCCATCAGTCTGTGATAAATGAACCGAGATATTATTCTAACTTCCTACAAATATTTCAGGTATGTTAGTGCTACTGAGATGATCTGACTAATTATGAAAATATAAATAAAAACAATCTCCCCATATAGCTACTTACACTTGAGTAAATGCCTAGCTAATGCTTTTGTCCTCTTTGTCGTAGTTTCAATGAGTCTTCAACCTGCTCTAGACATAGCAAGATTTGGTTCCAAAAATATTGTCCACACCAAATTGGGAAAGAACCTGGAAACCAACTGGTGACAAATGGTGTTAGATCAGAACCTGATGCATCAGGGTAAATCCAGGATAGTGTTAGATGTGAAACCAAAGTACTATTTCCTATAATACAGAAGTGATAGAAATCAACAAGAGTTTGAGATGACTTATTTATACATTTGCAGTTTACTGATTATTGATTCTATTTTACAGAAATTTGTAAAACAATGTGGACCAGTAAATATGGAGAGGAGGATGATTTTAATATCTTCCAGTTTTATTTCTTCTAACCTTCAACTTGGCCCATAAACTGATCCTTTTTTTTTATAATGTTATTTTATCACACTGCTGATTTTTTTTCTCTTCCTAGGCTACCTTCTTCACTCTTGGCTCGTGCTCCTTCCAAAATGTTCATAAGTTGTATTTATTTCATATATTTTTCCTATCTTTGTTTCATTTGCCCTGACCTGCCTGGCTTCTCTCTTTCCCTCCATCCTGCTGCGACGTAGCTCATTTCTTGATGTTTTCAATCCTGCAGGGAAATATGAAAAGGGAGAACAAGATGACTAAAAGACTGCTATATTTACAAAGGAATCAATCAATCAATCAGAATAAAGCTGGAAGGGACCTTGGAGGTCTTCTAGTCCAACCCCCTGCTCAAGCAGGAGACCCTATACCATTTCAGACAAGTGACTGTCCAGTCTCTTCTTAAAAATCTCCAGTGATGGAGCGCCCAGAACCTGTGACAGCAAGCTATTCCACTGGTTAATTGTCCTCACTGTTAGGAAGTTTCTCCTTAATTCCAGATTGCTTCTCTCCTTGATTACTTTCCATCTGTTGTTTCTTCTCCTGCCCTTTGGAAAAGAAGTTGACCCCTTCCTTTTTATGGCAATGCACATCTTCATTTTCATATTATCAGTGCTTTTTTCTAAAAAAAAAAAAAAAAAAGGTGCCGGAACTCACACACGTCATACAACCCGCCTTGCCTACCCTACAAGGTTCCATCCAAAAAAGGTGCCGGAATTCCGTTCTGGGTGTTCTATGAGAAAAAGAGCCCTGCATATTATTATTATTTTCTTCATCACAGTTGCAGAATAGATCTGAGGCTTCAGCCCCCCCCCCCAACCCTCAAAGGTTCCCTTTCTTAATTTGTCCAAACAGAGGGTATTTTGTTTTTAGTCAAAAGGACTTTTAAAGAGCCAGCTCCAGAACAGAAGACAAGCTGACAAAAATAAAATAATAATGAGGAACAGCCTAATTATTAAGTGATTGTTCCTCATTATCATTCCTCAAAGTTTAAGAACCAAACTAACTAAACCAAGCCAAAATAAGTAATATTCCTTCAGCTTGACTGACCATCAAAAGACGAGACCCATCTGGAAAAAGATATCTAATAAGAATAATTCCAACAACCAATAGCTCTGGTGGACATGTCCCTATTTCCTTCAGAATAAGACATCTTTATAGATAAAATCTCTGACCACAAAAGAGCATTATATGTTTATGTTTTCTTTAAAGTGTATCTATGTTAGGAGGCTGATCTATCTATATATGAGTTTAGCACATATATTACTGTTGTCAGGAAGAAACTGAATTATAATTTATTTTGTACTGGAGACAAGTAAGGGGAAATATTTTTGGAGAGTCAGGGAACATGTCTTAATTACAGAATTCATTCAGGAGTTGTGTTTCTTGTTGGTTAATTCATAGACTTTTACTAATACACTTCCATCAGAAGTCCTTCAGAGGAAAACAAAAGGGAACATAGAGCTAGTAATGAACAGAAGAGAGAGAGAGTAAGAGAAAAAAAGAGAGCAAGATACTGCAGACAATACCTCCTGATAATCTTCTGGATGCTTGGTCCAGATCCTCAGGGTGTTTACTCAGAAGACTGTATCTCAGGACAGGAACTGGGCAAACTGTTCCATCATTGCACAACTGCTTCTTCACTTGAAGGTCACATTACACTGTAACAGGCCAGGTGCCTATCTCTCTGAAAGCATCTGTAGTTTGAAATAAGCAAATAAAAAGCTTCAGAACTTGGCATCTTGAAGAACTTCTTTCATAAGACATAAAAGCAAAGCAAAAAAAAAAAAAAGTTCCAATATTTTTTTCATACCAAGACAGCACCTGGTGATTGTTAGGAAAGCAGAAATCAGACTGAGGAAACATGAAAGACATCGGTTGAGAAGCAAGATAAAAGATGCAAGTTATATAATAATTTAATCCAATCAGTTTTGTATGGCTTTACATTCTCTTTCTTTCTGCTTCTTTCCCTGCCCCCCCATCCCAGTCCCATTTCAGATTTAAAAGAATGAGGATAAAAGAAGTCTGGTACTGTGACGTATAGTCCAAGTGATTGAAATTCCATTCCATGCTCCTCTTGAGTTTCCCTTGTCAAACTAGGCATAAGCTTTTAAAGGGCAAATCCCCCATCTAGTTCTTAGTATTTTTGCTTCAGTTCTTCAGCTGCAAATACAGGTTTCTTTCACACAAGCGAGAGGTGAATATTAAAGGCTGCTTTCAGATATGATGAGAAGTAAACATAGGAGTTCATTAAGCAGTCGATATTTAACACTGCAGCAGACAACTTGGGAATGGGAGAAGTTCAAATCAGTTTAAGTAATCCAAAGGAGCTTGAAGTGATAGATTTAAAGCCATTTTGTATTTTATCATGTTACTGTTCACATTAGCTAATGATCATTTATTAGGGTATTAAACTTATACCCCACTGCAGTCTGATTATTGTTAGTGGCTTACAAAGTACACAGTGTAATGAGAGCTTAAACATCATGGTACAACAAAAACAATAATAATAACATCATAAAACCTCCAAGGAAGGTACAAGAACAACACATAAGAACAATTAAAACAAACAAGCAAATAAAAGATATGACAAGACTTAAGTTAAAGGAATGCCCTCCTTTTCTATAGTTTCCTAAAGGCCAGATGAAAAAAATGCAAGTACGATGTTCATAGCAAAGCACAGAAAAGCAGCTGTTTCTAATTTTGTTCTCTATCAGTCCCCCCATCTCCAAATATAAAAGGATGCAAGCTATAATATCTATAGCAGTGTTTCTCAACCTGTGGGTCAGGACCCCATTTTGGGTCGAATGACCATTTCACAGGGGTCGCCAAACAACACAGTCTGCCATTTTTTTCTCCTTTTCCTTAGCTGTGCTACTCCCTTTTATTCTATTGGCTTTTGAAAGCCAATAGAATAGACTCTCTTGAATAGAGTCTAATTCTATTGGCTTTCAAAAGCCAATAGGAATTGTCCAGGCTGTCTCTGCCCTGCTGAGCCCGCCAAAAGTTCCATTCTGCAAATGGTGCTGCACCAGTTGAGTAGTCCTCGACTTACGACCGGTTGAGTAGTCCTCAGCTTACGACCGGTTGGGGGTCACGGCATTAAAAAGGTTGAGAACCACTGATCTATAGGGTTGGGGCAGATGGAATCTAGGTAGTAAGCCATGAAGGAATTGATAGGTCAACATATGCCCCTTAAATTAAATTAAGAAACCAATCAGCAACTAGTGCAGAACCTGCAGAACGAGTGTATAAATCTCAATGCCAGAAGCTGGTAAGTATGTGGGCCATTGCATTGCTCTTGTCTTTAAGGACATTGCCTGTTAAAGGAAAAATCTTCATCAGGGTCCAATCCAAGCCGGGAATAAACAACATGGAGACTGCTTTAGAAAGAAGGTTGTAATTTATTGAAGAGGATTGCCAAACAGAAAGATGGTTCTGGAAAAACTAAGCACATGGAGCAGAGTGGTGGGCTTTTATACCTTCTGGGCTCTTGAGGTTGTTTCCTGTTCCTGTTTGAGGCTTCGTATTTCCTTTGTCATGTACTTTGACCTGAGTCTGAGTGTGCCCCTTTGGCATTGGTGGGTTAATCCTATTATGTCCTGTCATAGAATTTGGGTGGGGGTATGTAGCATTTAAGGTCTTTGTCTTCTTAATTTCTTCAGTTTCTAGCTGGAAGGCTCCAATCTTTCTTAAAGAATTATTGAATTTGCATTTCTAAAAGCTGCCCTCTGCCTAGGGGCTGGGGCTGATTTCTGGGGGCTGGTTTCTGTCTTTTTAAAGATCTTCTCCATTATTCATTTGGGGAAATATATTCTGCCTTTTTAATATTTCCCAAAATATTTCTTTTTCTGGATTCTTCCCACAGCCTGATAAAGTGCATTGCAGCGGTCCAATCAGGGAATGAGTAGTTGCAATTAGGTCCTCATACACCAGATGATTTTGCTATAGGCACAGCAATGAAAGCTGGGCAAAGTCACCTCAAGCCAAACTCCACCTGGTGTTCCAATAGGAGCCATGAGTCCAAAAAGACAGATGCGCTTTCATAGGTAATGCCTAGCTGTTTGAAGGTAGCACTGGCCGCTACATAAAATGGGATATACAAACAAAAACTCATCTCATTGTTTGATTAACCATCCTTTAAGTAAAGATAGTTGGAGGAATTGCATTATATTCAGAGCCAGAGACATACAGTATTTTATTTATTGGGTGCTCCCATGAGATTCAAACAATAGTTGATTTGTGACGGGAGCTCATGCACTAATGTACAATTGCTATCTTATCATTATATCTGAGGACATAATAACAAACATCTCATTAGCTTAAAAAAAGGATTCTATATTTATTCACACAGTTCGTCATAACTCCTAATGATTGCTTTGCAGTGACAGTTCTGCAATCGCACACAGTTGATGGAATCAATAATAGCAATAGCATTTAGATTTATATACCACTTCACAATGCTTTACAGCCCTTTCTAAGCAGTTTACAGAGCTAGAATATTACCCTCAACAATCTGGGTCCTCATTTTTACCGACCTCGGAAGGATGGAAGGCTGAATCAACCTTGAGCCAGTGAGAATTGAACTGCTGGCAGCCAGCAATCAGCAGAAATAGCCTGCAGTACTGAATTCTAACCACTGTGCCACCAGGGCTCAAGTTTACTACTATTTACAATTTATTTTATTTTATTTACTATTAGAGGGGAGTCTTTCACCCTGTTTCAGCTGAGGCTACATCAAATTCCATTCAAAAATATTGGAAGAAATGGCATAATTTGGAAAATGACACATTTCTTGAATCTTGACATGTATACCCAGATTTAATTATAGACAATTATTCCAGCTTAAAAATAGCTACTTAACTGATATTGCCAAACTAAAACAAAAATATCATTCATAATATAGAGAGCTTGAGTAACCACTTATTTTTGAATGAAATACTATATAAGTTAGCTTGTGCCAACAATGTCTTGCACTGGACAAACAGACTAGTCCCTACCCCAAAGGAGTAATCTGATATAAAAAAATAATGGAGAATGTTTCAGTTTCTCAGAATTCTCTCTTGCTAGTATTTTTGAACAAAAGAGCTTCATAGAAAGGTTTTGATAGAAGAGGGTATTTGTAGCTCAGACATTTCATTATCAAACTAGGTAACATCATCAGTGCTTTGAGAATGGATTCAGTATTAATAAAGTAAATACTAAGCAGATATTATATTTTATTTCTATTTCACTTAATGTGTATAACTACCCATTTTAACCATGTATATCTAATATATTTTTGTTATTTTGTTTCTTTTTATAATTATTGTATCTTCTTTTTGTGTGTGCATATTAAAGCAAAACTAAAAAAAAGTGGATACAAAGAGAGAGTAAAATAAGGTGGATGTATATGGACATATTTCAGCTAATGTGAGATGAGCCCCAGTCTACAAAATCTTATGCAGTATAAATTTTATTGTCTTTGCTGCCACAGAATAATATTAAAAATTTAAGAAATATTTCTGAATATAATGTTATGGTTTAAATTCAGTAAACATACTGTAACAAATGCACTGAAAGATCTTTTTTTTTTCTAAAAGTTCACTAAATAATCTCACGTTAGCAATTGTCCACCTTATTCTGTTCTGGTGCTGACAATATATAACAGAATAACAGAGTTGTAAGGGACTTGGAGGTCTTCCAGTCCAACCCCCCTGCTCAAGCAGGAAACCCTATAACAGTGGTTCTCAACCTTTTTAATGCCGCGACCCCAACCGGTCGTAAGTCAAGGACTACTCAACCGGTCATAAGTCGAAGACTACTCAACCGGTCATAAGTCAAGGACTTTTCCTGCCCGGGAGCGTCGCACATACGTGGTGCCGCCCCCTGCGCCAGCCGAGGCGTAGCTGGCAAGCGGCAGAGATGGCGCAGGCCAACCACCGGCTGGGCCACCAGCTGGCCCAGCCCAAGGGAGGTAAGCACCCGCCAGGCCCCACGCGCGCCAGCAACCCTCCCTGCGCCCGCCGGCCTCCCACCTCCCACCCCTGGCCCTCTTTTACTTACATTTTTAGTAGTTGCTCAGCAGGGAGGTGTGGAAACTTCCAGACAGCTCGCCTTCGCTGCAGACAACTTGCAGCACCGTTTGCAGAATGGGACTTTTGGCGGGCTCAGCAGGGCAGAGACAGCCTGGACAATTCCTATTGGCTTTTGAAAGCCAATAGAATTAGACTATTCAAGAGAGTCTATTCTATTGGCTTTCAAAAGCCAATAGAATAAAAGGGAGTAGCAGAGCTAAGGAAAAGGGGGAAAAATGGTGGACTGCATTGTTTAGCGACCCCCGTGAAATGGTCCTTCGACCCCAAATGGGGTCCTGACCCACAGGTTGAGAACCACTGCCCTATAACATTTCAGACAAATGGCTGCCCAAATTCTTCTTAAAAACCTCCAGTGTTGGAGCACCCACAACTTCTGGAGGCAAGTCATTCCACTGATTAATTGTTCTAACTGTTAGGAAATTTCTCCGTAGTTCTAGGTGGTTCTCTCCTTGATTAGTTTCCATCCATTGCTTCTTCTCCTGCCCTCAGCTGCTTTGGAGAATAGCTTGACCCCTCATCTTTGTGGCAGCCCCTCAAATATTCAAGCACTGCAATCATGTTTCCTCTAGTCCTTCTTTTCACTAGATTAGACAAACCCAATTCCTGCAACCACTCTTTGCATGTTTTAGCCTCTAGTACCCTACTTTTAATTAATGTGATGTAGCAAAGTGGTGAGATCTCATACATACACATAACAGAGGGATTTACTTTCTGCTAATTAGTACATAATTAGAATGTAGTATGAGAGTACAGTTGCGGGCTGGGAAAAAAAGAATGGTCCTCTTTTTTTATATTTCTCCTTAAGTTTAAGTGCTATATTATATCTAACAAAATGAAATTTAGTGGTAAAAAAAGTAAGGTTCTACATTTAGGCAA